AACGTTGGCCCAACGAAACTGTACCGTTGGCCCAACGTAGCCATACAACAGCTTTTTGTCCGTTGGGCCACTGGTGGCAGAAAATTCTGTTGGCCGAACGTTGGGCCACCGTCTGATAATGCTAAAATTGTACTCGTGTAACAACGCTCGAACACCCCGCCCGGTATATTTTACATTTCTGTCTGTTTAAAATACAGAGTTTAGCGATTTCGTTAGGTATTTCAACCAAACGAGAGTACCTTTCCCTGTAAATGTGCAAATCGGGATCTGGAATTATCCAATCACGATTTTCATCACTCTTCACGCCATTATGTCACATGGGCAGATGGTGCGAACAGGACATGGGGCTAAACAACCAGAATTCGAATTGAAGTGATTTAAAAACGAGTTGTCAATAAAAATAGAATGTAGATCTTATATTATATTCAACTTTGTCATTTACGCGTTTTCATCCTACTTTTGTCAAGAATTGCAACACGTACCCGCTTCCAATTTTTCCCGCTAAGCTGCATTCAGAACAAGGCTTTACCGGATATCCGTTAGACTATGGTTCGATGATCAGTTAATTTCCGACCGTGGGCCAACGGCGAGATGCGATCGTTTGCTATGCAGCTGAACTCCAACGTTGGGCCAACGGCGAGATGCGATCGTTGGCAATGCAGCTTAACTTTACTGTTGGGCCAACGGCGAGATGCGATCGTTTGCTATGCAGCTAAACTCCACCGTTGGGCCAACGGCGAGATGCGATCATTGGCTAGTCAGCTTAACTTTACCTTTGGGCCAACGTCGATATGCGATCGTCGCATCGCGCCGTTGGCCCGAAAATGTCGTGCTATCTGGTTCAGGGGTTGACATATTAGGTGACTGCAGCATCTAGTATGGGGCCACGCCCGGCACGCCATCTCCGGGTAGATAGTGCAAGAAGATGCTATTGATTCAGAACAAATGTCGGTACCTGTATTCCAAAAATGGCTGAATAAAGCGAAAATTTACTTATTCTCCTAGGCTGGAAAGACTTATTTGTTGGTTCGACAGATAGCCGCCGCCGCTAAAACGTATGGTTGCATTACAGATAAAAAAAATAACGCCATAAAAACATTGTCTCTTGTCAATTTATTCAAAAGGAGTATCAAACTACATTATCATGAAACAATTGTTGAAAAGATTATAAGACAAACTTTTAAATCTAATGTTATATAAACAAAAAGCACATTTAAAACGGATTACTTAAATGTCAACAAAACCGTTATTCGAATTAAAAATCGATAAAACGAGAGCAAAATATGAAGAAAGCAAATATCTACATGGAAATCATTGAACAAGGACAAGGACAATACGACCATGTGTTCCGGAAGGGTAAGCGTATTCTGCTTTATCAAATGTAATGCAAGTTTATGTAAAGTAATGTCTCGTCCTCAAATCGAGATTTTAGAACGAGACAATGAAACAAAAACTCACACTAACGAGCAGATTTAAAAACACTGACCTCCATATCACTAACAAAATAATATTTTCCCAATAATTATGATCATCTGTCGAAAATAAAACTATCCTATAGTCTTCACCAACCTGCATCTCCGGAAATCTATGAATTAATGCTATTAATACTTGGATAATTACTCTTATTCTCTTTGTTCCTTGTCATGGTTTGAAAGGGTCATTCTGCCAAAACAAGTCAGCATTTTGGTTTGAACAAAGGTAATACATGTTAACCTCTTCCATTCATGGAACTTTCTGTCGTATGCGCACAAAAACAGACCCAGTGAAGACTTTTTCCGACAAGAGGCGTGTCTCTACAACCAAGAGTGTTCGTCATGGTATTAACTATGAAAGTGCTGATTTTGCAAAATACCTAGAAAAGAATGAGTGTATGAGCTGCCCAGTTGGACTAGTAGTTAAAAAGATGAACTGAAACTTTTTGAAGTGAAGTGTCCGTTTTCCATATTTGAAAAGAAAATGAAAATTACAAACCATATGATAGACAATAATTTTTACCTCGAGATTGTAAACGGGGATCTGACATTGAAGAAAGCTCACGACTACTATAACCAAATCCAGGGACAGTTGAATGTGACCTTGTTGTCTTTGTGCCGCCAGATGACATGGTCATTGTGACTATCAACAAGGACAAGAAAATGTTCAAGGACGCCATGTTGCCCAAGTTGGCACATGTTTACTTTGACCGTCTCCTGCCACACTTTGTACAGGAACTTCAAAGTGGGCATGCTGAGAAAACTTTCATGGATTTCTTTGTGATATTTACGATCATATCTTTTAACTGGCTGTTAAAAAGTGAGAGAAAAGTGCACGATACAATGAACGATGAAATGTGTGTAGAATTCGAAGTTTAAAGAAAATGTCATCTGTTTATATGCTACATCATACAAGTATGATAGCTGTAAGGCCTTAATTAGTCCCAAATATGATAGTACATGTAGTAGGACCTTAGTCCCAAGTATGATAGTACATGTAGTAGGACCTTAGTGCCAAGTATAATAGCAGTAGGACCTTAGTGCCAAGTATAATAGCAGTAGGACCTTAGTGCCAAGTATGATAGCAGTAGGACCTTAGTCCCAAGCATGATAGCAGTAGGACCTTAGTCCCAAGTATTATAGCAGTAGAACCTTAGTCCCAAGTATGATAGCAGTAGGAACTTATTCCTATGTATGATAGCAGTAGGACCTTAGTACCAAGTATGATAGCAGTAGGACCTTAGTACCAAGTATGATAGTACATGTAGTAGGACCTTAGTCCCAAGTATGATAGCAGTAGGAACTTATTCCTATGTATGATAGCAGTAGGACCTTAGTACCAAGTATGATAGCAGTAGGACCTTAGTCCCAAATATGATAGTACATGTAGTAGGACCTTAGTCCCAAGTATAATAGCAGTAGAACCTTAGTCCCAAGTATGATAGCAGTAGAACCTTAGTCCAAAGAATGATAGCAGTAGGACCTTAGTCCCAAGTATAATAGCAGTAGAACCTTAGTCCCAAGTATGATAGCAGTAGAACCTTAGTCCTAAGTATGATAGCAGTAGGACCTTAGTCCCAAGTATGAGAGCAGTAGGACCTTAGTCCCAAGTTTAATAGCAGTAGAACCTTAGTCCCAAGTATGATAGCAGTAGGAGCTTAGACCCAAGTATGATAGCAGTAGGACCTTAGTCCCAAATATGATAGTACATGTAGTAGGACCTTAATCCCAAGTATGATAGCAGTAGGAGCTTAGACCCAAGTATGATAGCAGTAGGACCTTAGTCCCAAGCATGATAGCAGTAGGACCTTAGTCCCAAGTATAATAGCAGTAGGACCTTAGTGCCAAGTATGATAGCAGTAGGACCTTAGTCCCAAATATGATAGTACATGTAGTAGGACCTTAGTCCCAAGTATGATAGCAGTAGGACCTTAGTCCCAAGTATGATAAGTTTAGTCCCAGATAGGTTTAAAAAGATTTGAGACCACTTTTTTGGTATTTGCAACTATGCTATACTAATACAGGAATCAATTTCGAACTATAATGTACTGTATTTAGTATGCATCAAATCTATGCCAGGTATTAGGCCATACAAAAATTGTCCGTTAAAGTACAGAAATGTCAACACGGACTATTTCAGGGTCTTTTACCAATCTGTCCTCCTATAGCTACTTTGTGCTAGAGTTGAAATTTTGTGCTTGTTGCAAGGTAAATACAGTACACTGACTTAAGCTTGTTCTTAAGTCAAATGGTCTCCTGTCCTTGTTAGACAGATCAACACAGTTTCACAAATCTCATTGTATTTATTTTCAATGTACTGTATATCATTTTGGCAACATGTATAAATAAATGATATTTAATATCTTCAAACAATAAAATCTTGTATCATGTGAATTAAACCATGGTTTATGTTTTCTTTCCAAGTGGGTAGTAACTTATGCTGTATAAATTGTACAGATCTATTTATATTAGTATACACTTGACTGATTTTGCTTTATATCCCTTAAAACAAACAAAAAAAGGCTAAAGTCAGTGATCAATAAGTAATAATAATTGAAAATAAATGTGCATGTCTGCTATAAGATTATGATACAAGAGCATATATATAAAGTAGCAGTAATATACAAAATTGTCTAATCATCCGCAGTTCAAGTGCTCAAAAAGGGTTTTGAATTTTCTTGAACTTGGGAAGGTAAATCATGAAATCTTTAATACTTAAACATTTTAGAACTTTGTATGATTAAGATGAAATATCGCCTGAGTGCCAGCGATATAATGAGATATACTACGATAGCTACATAGATGCATACAATGACAAACATAGTTTCACACAGACAAAAAAACATGCAAACACAAAGAGCCGATATGATTGGTCCCTGGTCATGTACATGTATTGTAGTAATATTGAATACTGATGTCAGTATGGTGGATACCAATATACATGTAACAGTTCATCATTATACGATTACCATATTGGTATGACACAACAGTAGATCATTGATTGTCATTGTTGATAAATGTGAAACGCACTTCATTATCTGGACATAATGCTAATGAAAAATAGACAAAACAACTAATCATAGCTGAAGCTCTAAGTTGGAACAGGGTCTAAAGTTGCTGCAACTTTGTCATTAAAGAGTAGACTGCCAGTGAAATTGGCTAAGTGTCCACAGATCAGCCCTATCCTCTCTAGCATTGGACAGGTTGCCACTGGGACAGTTACTATGAACTCGTTTACCTTTTTCACGGTTGAGTGACAGCGGCGGCGTACACGTTTACCCCCTTGAAATATACATTATCGTCGATTTCTAAATTATCAGATGATTTTAAAACATTGTTGTAATTGTCACATTTAGAAAATAATGTTTGAAATTATTGTATAATTTAATAAAAAAAAAATATAAACGATCGCGTTAATGAGATATAAAAATATCTTTATATTCCTGGTACGGGGTTTTAGTCCGGGACCGGGAACGACGTACAAGATTTACCTACCACCTGTAACACGTGACTACGTTATAAGTGACGTACATGTACTTCCTGTTTCCGCTGCGGACACAACCATGGTCTGTTACATCTGCTGCTTTAAAGCTTCGTCGACTTGTCACTTGCGTTGGGTAACTAGAATAATTATTAATGCACAAATGTCATGCTGCATGATATTGTATCATGGAGTCTTAAGTAGGCCTATGTCACAGCACTGCAGCTGCGTAAGTTTACAGTTTGCATGGAGATAATGCGAAGGGGAGATAACTGGATTAGCCCTTTCTGCCAATACACAGGTGGTCGGGTTCTGAAATATATTTAGGTATTGCAAATCACTATGATAATAAATAATTTGGTTCTAGAATATGTATAAAATTATCTGTTAAGTTAATGCGCCCCACTAGACTGATTTATTATTAATTATTATAGTGATATTCGATACCTATTATACTACTGTATTGCAGTACTACAGTGTATAATTCCAGGATCCGAGCCCCTGTGGGTTTTGTCAAAGGAGTCTGAAAATATTCTGTTATGATCATTTTGACAGAATTCTAGATTTTATTTCACATGTACCCCTGCGCATCATGCATATTGTTCAAGGGTGGTGGAGTATTGCCCAAGAGTCTGAAATTCTGTGAAAAATTGTAATAACAGTAATATAGAAAAATGACATTTAATAATTGCGAAGTGTTTATCTATTTGGTATTACTATAAATACCAGGTTTTTGTCAAAATTTCAGACTCCTTTGAGTATTGATAGTCAGATAGATTTGGGCATTGTTAACTTGAATAACTATTAAAATAACAAACTATGTACTATGTAATGTAGTTCACAATTTTTTTTTACTTCAAGAATATTCATAATATGATATTATGCCAGAATTGTTTTTAGTAAAACTTAACTGGCATGATACATGAATTGACACACAGGTCAGATACACAATGCAAATTTGAGCCAGAGTTATTTAGGGTCATACTATACACATGTATGGTTCTGACATCTGACTTGATTAATTACATGTATGATGCATAGTGACCTATTCTGAACGCTTTCCGTCCGTCATGTGTAAACTTTTTATATTTTCGACTTCTTCTCAAGAACCAATGAATGTTTTTTTTCTTTTAAACTTTGTGAGAATCATCCTTAGTAGATGAGGGTACAAAAATTGTAAAATTGGGATTCCTACCCCAACCCTAGGGGCCAGGGTGGGGCCCCAAAGGGAAAATTAATCAATATTTCAAAAATCTTCTTCTCCAGACTTGGAGGTACTACAGTCAATTTCTATGCATTGTTAGCTCACCTGCCCGAAGGGCTAGTGAGCTTGTGCCATGGCGCTTTTCCTTGTCCTTTTAACGACTTCTTCTGAAGAATGGACAGGCCTAGAGTCAAATATGTCAAAAACTTCAAACGACTTCTGAAGAACTAAATGGTATAGAATCTTCCTTTTTGGCTGTGGCTTCATGAGAAGACAATTAGCCGGACAAAGTTTGAAAATGAAAATAACCTTGACGTACTTTCAAGGTCACAGCGGTCAAATATGTCAAACGCTTCAAACGACTTCTTCTGATGAACTAAAAGGTATCAAATCTTCATTTTTGGCTGGTGGCTACCTGGGATGGAGCCCAACAAAGTTTGAAAATGAAAATAACCTTGACGTACTTTCAAGGTCACAGCGGTCAAATATATAATCACTTCAAACGACTTCTTCTGAAAAACTAAAAGGTATAGAATCTAAATATTTCACTGATGGCTTCCTGAGATAGAGCCAGACAAAGTTTGAGAATGAAAATGACCTTGACATACTTTCAAAGTCACTGGTCAAATATGTCCAACACTTCAAACAACTTCTTCTGAAGAACTAAAAGGTATTGAATCTGCATATTTGGCTGGTGGCTTCCTGGGATGGAGCCCGGCAAAGTTTGAGGATGAAAATGACCTTGACCTTCTTTCAAGGTCACAGCGGTCAAATATGTAAAACACTTCATGACCTTGACATACTTTCAAGGTCACAGTGGTCAAATATGTCGAACACTTCAAACAACTTCTTCTGAAAAACTAAAAGGTATAAAATCTGCATATTTGGCTGATGGCTTTCTGGGATGGAGCCCAACAAAGTTAGAGAATGAAAATTAATTTGACCTACTTTCATGGTCACAGGGGTCAAATATGTCAAATGCTTCAAACGACTTCTTCTGAAGAACTAAACGGTATAGCATCTTTTTATTTGATTGATGGCTTCCTGGGACAGAGTCCAGCGAAGTTTGTGAATGAAAATGACCTTGACCTTCTTTCAAGGTCACAGGGGTCAAATGTGTCAAACGACTTCTTCTGAAGAACTGAAATGTATAGAATCATTATATTTGGCTGGTGGCTTCCTGGGATAGAGGCCGACAAAGTTTGAAAAATAAAATGACCTTGACTTACTTTCAAGGTCACAGGAGTCGGGTATGTCTAATGATTAAAACAAATTCTACTGAAGAACTGAAAGTTATAGAACCTAAATATTTGGCTTGTAGCTTTCTGGGAAAGAGCCCAACAAAGTTTGAGAATGAAAATTAGTTTGACCTTCTTTCAAGGTCACAGGGCTCAAATATGTCAAATGCTTCAAACGACTTCTTCTGAAGAACTAAACGGTATAGCATCTTTATATTTGATTGATGGCTTCCTGGGATAGAGCCCAGCAAAGTTTTAGGATAAAAATGACCTTGACCTTCTTTCAAGGTCACAGGGGTCAAATTTGTCAAACACTTCAAACGACTTCTTCTGAAGAACTGAAACGTATAGAATCTTTATATTTGGCTGGTGGCTTCCTGTGATAGAGGCCGACAAAGTTTGAAAATAAAAATGACCTTGACTTACTTTCAAGGTCACAGGAGTCAGGTATGTCTAATGATTAAAACGACTTCTTCTGAAGAACTGAAAGTTATAGAACCTAAATATTTGGCTTGTAGCTTTCTGGGAAAGAGCCCAACAAAGTTTGAGAAAAAATGACCTTGACCTACTTTTAAGGTCACATGAGGCAGATATGTCAAATGCTTAAAACAACTTCTTTTGAAGAACTGGAAGGTACAGAACCTTAACATTTGGCTGGTTATTTCCTGGGAAGGAGCCCAACAAAGTTTGCGAATGAAAATGACCTTGATTTGCTTTCAAGACTGATTAGACATATATTCAAGCTTTAATTATGACTTAATGTCTTTAATTTGTCAGTCAGTGTTTATGTACATGTATGTAAGATCGATTTACGGCACCATGCTGTCAGGGCGGTATGTCCCGATTTTGACACTTTTTCAACATAACGGAGACACGGGGAGATCAACTTCTAATGCAATAGAGAAGCTATTAATTAAATTATTAAAAGCACAGGTCTTCCTTCTGAAGTAATATTTTCATTGAAATCTGCATGATTTTCTCGCATGATGTGTCAAGGTAACCTTGAATATTTGTGAAAGATATCATGCTAGTTTTCTTATCGGAATTTGTGTTAGAAAATGTTGGTAGGCCTAATTATTTCAATTTTAGATAGCAATTAACTGCACCACATGTTTTGTTAGGACTTACATGTATAACCAGCAAAAGACTAACATGTATGACCAGCAAGCGATGGTCGATCTATTGTTTTCCGCTGACTGGGGTGAAGCGAGGTGTGAAAAATTTACCTGGAGTGGACTGGTGATCACCTCGGGCAATGTACAGTAAGCCGGACGGGACCTATTGTTCAATTGTCCAGATATTTCACACGATCAACTTACCTGAGTTTTTACCTTATGAAAGCCATTCACGGCAGAAAAAACATCATATTAAGCGGGGTCGCACCTTTGACCATATCATAATAAACGATTTTGTTTGGCTTAGTTAAAGAAGGCTAATAATGGTCTGATTTCAACAAAATTTATTGTGTGCATACATATTAAAATGTTTAAGACTAAATTTGCTCATCAATGTGATCCTTTAATAATTATGCATAATTAATTACACTTATACATTTTGATTGGTGGTATTGGTTTCCATGCAATAAGTGTCCTAATAATAATGGTCCTATTTCAACAAAATGTAACAGATCCATTTTGTACGGGAAAAAATATTTTCAGAGATCCTAAACTTCTATCCTGTAATTGATTTCTATATATCAAATAGATGAGGACAAATAACTGAAGTACTAAAACTGATGACAAGCAGTTATTTGGAAGTTCAAATTTGGTGAATATGGGTACCAAAAAGTGGTCGATCATACCATACATAGTTCTGTGACCTTGAAACTCTTGAATATGACAGTTGAGCAATAGCATACAGGTCCATTGAACCTCTTTTTTTACAAGGAGATCCTCTAAAATTGCAATTCCTTTAGATATGAATTCCATGGATAATATTAGAAATTAAAATATTAAAAAAGTCACGTCAATAGCTAATTCAAATATTTACAAAAATAAAGAAAGTACAGGAAAAGTAAAGCATACAAGAAATAATGTATTTCACAGTAATATATTTTTTTTATTAAACAACATGTATGAATATGTTTTTCAAAAGATTTGAAAAATACCCATTGTTATTTCAGGACACGACAATTAGACTTCCAAAGAAGAATTACAGGGCAGAAAGCATTCTGAGCTGAAAATGGTTGTGAATGGAGCACTTCTGAAATTAAATTCTGGAGCTAGAAGTTCATACTACATATCTGGTACACATATTGACATTGAAATGGGTTGATACTTGCATTTTAACAAGGAAACAACTTTACTTTTTCCTTGAACACATCGAGATATAATTATAAGGATGGACAATATGGACAATCACCAGTATCCTGAAGGACATGCTGGGGAAGATCCCATCACTCATACAATGGATCAGTGTACTCGTTCAGACATAGATCAACAGGAGTCTACAAAGAGTTGCACTCAAGACATCAGTAAAACAATCACTAACCCTAAAAAGGAAAAGATACCGAGGCTGAGCCCAACTTCAGCAGAGTGTCCCCCATTAAACACATCAAGCTTGGTGGGGGCATCTACCAGTGTAAGTAGTACAGAACATTTCAGTGACAGTCATTTAGTTGGGAATATCATTCCAAATCACCACAGCCATCCTTTCGTAAAACTTGAACCTCTTGATTTAGAAAGTTGGGGGAAAGCATCATCAGATGGAAAGAGAACATCGAACGACCCTTCTTGGGACCAAGAGCAATCTGCGACCTGTGAAAGAACTGAATTTGGATTGTTGGACATGGAACTAAGAGAATGCGACCAGAAGAAAGTCTTACTCAAAATGGACATGGAAGAAGAGAACCTTGATGATAATGGACAGAGATGTGAAAATGAGGTAGAAAAAGACAAAGCTGAATCCAAGTGTGATGAATGTGCAACACTGACCAGTTTGGACAGAGAAAACAACACCAATTGTGGCAAATGCGGGCGAAGCTTTGCAATCAAGACCAATAAACAGACACAAGAGCGATACAAATGTGACCAGTGTGGTAAAACGTTTTCTCAATTCCATGAAATGCAAAAACATTTGGATATTCATACACAACATCTACAAGACTCTCAAGTTGGCAAGTTCAGTTGTGAACTCTGTAATAAGGACTACAAGTCCCGTGCTGGTCTGAGAGTTCATATGGAAGTCCATCAAAAGTCAAACAAATGTAGGATATGTGGCCGCTGTTATTATCGAAAATCCTATTTACTGCTACATATGAAAATTCACAGTAGACCAGCATCAGTTGGTCACTGTAAACTGTGCGATAAAACATTCAGAACGAAACTTGTTCTCAAGAAGCATATAAATTCAATTCATAGCGTGCACCCATGTGAAACTTGCGGGACGAAGTTTATGGGGAAACGAGTGTTGGATTTCCACAAACTTGCTCACGAGCATGAGAACCAATCCAGAAAATTCTTTTGTGATATATGTGGAGATATTTACAAATCTGAAGACAGCTTTCGAACACATCTTGAAATTCACAAGGACGAGAGCAAACCATATGTTTGTGGTATTTGTGGAAAATCAAGTAATACTGTTAAAGGATTAGCAAATCATTTACTAACAGTTAATTATCATACCGGAAAATATGGTGATTCAAACTTTAACTGTGATGTCTGTGGAAAGAGTTGCAAAGATGCTGAGTATCTTGAAAGGCACATGAAACACCACACCAATAAACTTTTGAAATGTGAAATATGTAATCGAGGATTCACAAAACAAATTAGTTTAGAGAGACATTATGAATCTCACAACGTAGTAACTATTGAACATAATTGTGAGAAATGTGACCGGACCTTCCAGTCAGAATTTGCTCTGGAAAAACATGTTGATTATGTACATACAACACAATCATGTGATGTTTGCGGCAAAGAATTTATAAAACAGAAACTGAAACGTCACAAAGCTGAGCACGAAAAAAAATTCCAATGTGAAGTGTGTGGAAAATATTATTCTGGAGTTGAAGGAATAAAACTGCATATGCAATTTCATTCGAGAAATGCCTTAGCAATCAAGAAGTTTGCTTGTGAGGTTTGTGGTAAGAAATACCTTTCACAAGAAGGTCTAAAGAATCACAAAAGAGTCCATGACAAGTCAATCAAATGTAGCGTATGTAGTCGCTGTTTTTCATTCCGTTCTGATTTATGGAAGCATATGAAAATTCACAATCGATCAGAATCTGCTGGGAAATGTGAGCTCTGTGAGAAGACATTCAAAACGGAACTTGTTCTCAAGAAGCATATAAATTCAATTCATAGCGTGCACCCATGTGAAACTTGCGGGACGAAGTTTATGGGGAAACGAGTGTTGGATTTCCACAAACTTGCTCACGAGCATGAGAACCAATCCAGAAAATTCTTTTGTGATATATGTGGAGATATTTACAAATCTGAAGACAGCTTTCGAACACATCTTGAAATTCACAAGGACGAGAGCAAACCATATGTTTGTGGTATTTGTGGAAAATCAAGTAATACTGTTAAAGGATTAGCAAATCATTTACTAACAGTTAATTATCATACCGGAAAATATGGTGATTCAAACTTTAACTGTGATGTCTGTGGAAAGAGTTGCAAAGATGCTGAGTATCTTGAAAGGCACATGAAACACCACACCAATAAACTTTTGAAATGTGAAATATGCAATCGAGGATTCACAAAACAAATTAGTTTAGAGAGACATTATGAATCTCACAACGTAGTAACTATTGATCATAATTGTGAGAAATGTGACCGGACCTTCCAGTCAGAATTTGCTCTGGAAAAACATGTTGATTATGTACATACAACACAATCATGTGATGTTTGCGGCAAAGAATTTATAAAACAGAAACTGAAACGTCACAAAGCTGAGCACGAAAAAAAATTCCAATGTGAAGTGTGTGGAAAATATTATTCTGGAGTTGAAGGAATAAAACTGCATATGCAATTTCATTCGAGAAATGCCTTAGCAATCAAGAAGTTTGCTTGTGAGGTTTGTGGTAAGAAATACCTTTCACAAGAAGGTCTAAAGAATCACAAAAGAGTCCATGACAAGTCAATCAAATGTAGCGTATGTAGTCGCTGTTTTTCATTCCGTTCTGATTTATGGAAGCATATGAAAATTCACAATCGATCAGAATCTGCTGGGAAATGTGAGCTCTGTGAGAAGACATTCAAAACGGAATATTCACTCCAAAAGCATACAACTAAGTTTCATGTGATGCACTCGTGTGACATCTGTGGACAAAATTTCCAAGGGAAAGTGTTGCTGGAATACCACAAACTTGCTCATGAGCACGAAAATAGGTCACATGACTTCTGTTGTGTTACGTGTGGAGAAAAATACAAAACATTTGACAGCTTTCATACACATCTTGAGATTCATAAGAACCAGGACAGTCCATACAGATGTGACATTTGTGGGAGAACATACAGAGAATTTATCTCTTTGAGGAGTCATATGAAATTGCAGAACGTTCATGCAGATAAAGATATACAGGAAGGATTAAAATTTTCTTGTGATGTGTGCGGAAAAAGCTTTAAAGAAAACCAGATGCTTGAAAAACACGTGAAATTTCACGTTATGAAAAAAAGACAGTTTAGTTGCAGTATCTGCACTCGAAGTTTTGCTCGACAAAGTACTTTAGATAAACATTATAAAAAGCACAGCACAGAGACTAAAGGACATCAGTGTGAGAAATGTGATGCAGTATTCCTAACAGACTTTAATCTGAAAAAGCATTTAGACTTTGTACATACAACAGAAACATGTAATATTTGTGGTGAAGAAGTTTCCAAAGGTAAACTTAAATATCACAGGGCTAAACACGAGGAAAAACAGGAATGTGACGTGTGTGGCAAACATTATTTTGGAGTTGAAGGAATTAGAAGACATATGCAATATCATGCAAGACTTTTAAGCGGGATAAAGAAGTTCAGTTGTGAAGTTTGCGGTAAACAATACCACTTACAGCTGGGCCTTAAAGAACACATGAGGTTCCACCTGAAATCTATCAAATGTAAAATTTGTGGGCGTTGCTTTTCACATCAAAGTTCTTTAAAGAAGCACATGATAATTCACACCAGACCAGCATCGATTGGAAAATGTGAAACTTGTGGCAGGACCTTCCAAACAGAAGGTGTTCTTCAAAGACATATCAAGAGTTTCCATGTCACGAAATCGTGTGAGATTTGTGGTTTGAAGTTTAAAGAAAAACCACAGAAACATATTGATAGGCACCATACCTCATATGTATGTGATATTTGTGGCATTAAAATTGATGGAAATGTTTTGTTAGAGTGCCATAAGCTGGCTCACGTCTATGAAAAGGGTTCATTTGACTTTCAGTGTTACGAATGTGAAAAAAGTTACAAAACTTCTGACAAGCTACGTAAACACGTGGACATCCATACGAAAAACGAAGAAGGGTCTGGTCGTTTCGGATGCGAGATATGTGGGAAAAGGTTTGCTTCATTGTATAATTTATCGTCTCATGTAAATAACCACAGGAAAGAAATTGGCCATTATTGCAAAATTTGTGGCAAGAGTTTTAAAGAAGCTGATGAAGAGCACAACTGTCTGTCTGAGAAGATTACGAAATATATATGTGAAGTGTGTGGGCGCAGTTTCCGGGATGAATTTGGTTTAAACAGGCACAAGAAAGTACATGGCAGTGTTGACTTCAAATGCGAACAATGCAATTGGTTGTTCTTGACAGAAAAAAAACTTCAGACCCATATAGACAGAGTACATAAGCTAGCACCTTGTGATATTTGTGGTCAAGAATTGACCTACCAGGAATTGCCTCTTCACAAAAGAAAAATGCACACCCAAGACTACATTTGTGACATATGTGGACATAAATGTTCAGGTCTGTCAAAGCTGAAAACACATTTAGAAACCCACTCGACAAAAGAAGCAAAATCTTTTTGCTGTGATATTTGTTGTAAAACCCTCAATACTGCGGCAGGACTACGAATTCACAAGGCTATTCATACTGGAGCTCAGAAAAATAAAAAGACATTGATCTGTGATATATGTGGAAAAGGTTTTGCAGAAAGAAAAACTTTGTTTAATCACAAGCTCACTCACAAACCTAAATCACTTCAGTGCAATAAATGTTGTAAAATGTTTGCAACTAGAAATTCACTACTCAACCATGTGAAATGCAGGAGAGAGTGTCAAACTTGTGGAAAGATATTTGTTGATACACGATTATTTAAACAACATGTTGAGCTTCATGATGGTGCTGAGGAGGTGGATGGAAATGTATCCTTCAATCAAAGCCCTTGCTCTGAAAGATCCAGTCCGAGGACAGGTCGCAGTACTGGTCGTTCAGACAAAATGCACAGGCAGAGAGGTCCTGGAAAAAAAATCACAGATTATCCTTACAAATGTAGAATGTGTAGAAGAAGTTTTCAGAGTAAGATCAACATGGAAAATCATACAACAAGGCACCATAACAAATTAAATGTAAAACAGTTCAAGTGCGAGATGTGTTTTAAAATATTTACATCCAAACGTGCATTGAAGGCTCATGATAGAGTTGTGCATGCTAAACAAAGTTTTGATGTCAGTGGGACAAAATGCACAGCTACAGATCTGAAGAAACATACAAGCACACACAAAGAGCAAGAAAAGGGCCAGGTGTCCAGTAGAGAAAGTGTGGAATCAATTGATAATGAAAATAGTATTGATGACAAGGAAGTCAAGAGGCCTAAAGGTAAGAAACTGACCCATACAGTATCTAGGACTCGCACAACTAAATCATTTACTATATGTTATTACCAAACATTTTAGATAAAATTTTAATATTTGAAGTTCAAAACCAGTGACAACTGTCTAGATTCATAAATACATACCTTGCAAAGGCTACAAAATGACATTTTTGGTAGGTTTAGTGGCATATTGGAGTGTCACAGCATCAAGAAGAACTGGAAGTTTACAAGCAAAACCGGTGACCCAAAACAGAAACGCCCCCATACATTTTGCCCCTGTGCAAATCCGCACACAGACATTCAAATATATAAAAAGTATACATTTATCAAAAGTTTAATACCTGAACATTTCATTGATCTAAAAACATGTCCTCAGTTCCCTATCAAACTCCCTCAGTGACCCAGTAATTAGCCGGAACATAATTTAGATAGGAACTACAAACGTATGAAACACTTGCTGATTAGTTGTGCGAGTCCCCTTCATTTATTTGTGCCATACAGGGTGTGAAAAACTTAACTCAAATGAGATTAAGGCATTCACATGTGTAACAAAACTAGAACTTTAGCCCACCATTAGCAGACCTAGATAGTGAACTGTTCAAATTGACTTTCATAGGTGGCTGCCCGCTTTTCGTCCGTCCTTCATGCTTCATATTCTATATAAAATGGAGAATATTCTAAGTAAATAAACTCTTTGAGAGCTGGAACTCTCCTTCGCAATTATAACTGGTGCAGTAGTACCCTTTGCCTTAAGTAGTACTCTGTTCAAACAATAATCGGTTTATCTAGGTCGGTGGTTTAATATTTACATTCAATTCTTTTCGGAGCTACAGGTTTCACGTTAAGAGTAATACTGTGTCCCTAACCCAAGTTTTAAAAAAAACAGATCTGCGATATGTCCCTGATGCCCACATCTATCTTTCACTATATGTTATAACAAGATTTGAGTTCAAATTTATCAAAGCTCTACGTTTGTTGTAATGTTTTCCCATAGGTGTGGTTACATTTTATAAATCTGATGATATTTATACTTGCTTTTTCGGGAAAAAAATACAGCTTAATCAAATTTTTAAGATACTGAGCGAACATGACTTTGCAAAAAAGAAATCATTTGGATTGGAGGATCATTTTTTCTCTGTTTCGTTGCAGGTCAAAGAGGACACATGCGTGAGTCGATGGTTCCTTTCCTGACACCTAGGGTAATCAGTGAAGATTCAATGCTGCTGTCTAAAAGGGAGACAATGGATTTACCTCCAGAAAAAAACCAAGCAGTCAACGATGATAAGAAGTTCTTGAGTGTATGTATACTTGACATCTCTTCACCTTGGTAGAAATAAAATCATTGTTTGCTCTTATCCGGTACGAAGTGGTTTTGTCAGTGAAGTTACTAGTCAGATTTTCATTCTGTTTGTCAGACATTAGAGCTTACAAGGAAAAGGCTGTGTAGAGTAAGGAGAAGTAGGAACGTTGACGATGGTGAAGGTTGGTTATAGTTGTGCAGGGTAAGGAGAGGTAGGAACGTTGACGAAGGCGAAGGATGGTTATAGTTGTGTAGAGGAAGGAGAGGTAGGAACGTTGACGATGTTGAAGGTTGGTTACAATTGTGAATATGAGGCCATTCAGTTTGTTATTGGTTTTGTCAGTGAGATAACTAGTCAGATTTTCATTGTGTTGGTCAGACATTAGAGCTTACAAGGAAATGGCTGTGTAGAGTAAGGAGAAGTAGGACCGTTGACGATGGTGAAGGTTGGTTATAGTTGGGTAGAGTAAGGAGAGGTAGGAACGTTGACGATTGTGGAGGTTGGTTATAGTTGTGTAGAGTAAGGAGTGGTAGGAACGTTGACGATGGTGAAGTTTGGTTATAGTTGTGTAGAGTAAGGAGTGGTAGGAACGTTGACGATGGTGAAGGTTCGTTATAATTGTGTAGAGTAAGGAGAGGGAGGAACGTTGACGATGGTGGAGGTTGGTTACAATTGTGAATATGAGGCCATTCAGTTTGTTATTGGTTTTGTCAGTGAGATAACTAGTCAGATTTTCATTGTGTATTTTCATTCTGTTTGTCAGACATTAGAGCTTACAAGGAAATGGCTGTGTAGAGTAAGGAGAAGTAGGACCGTTGACGATGGTGAAGGTTCGTTATAATTGTGTAGAGGAAGGAGAGGTAGGAACGTTGACGATAGTGAAGGTTGGTTATAGTTGTGTAGAGCAAGGAGAGGGAGGAACGTTGACGATGGTGGAGGTTGGTTACAATTGTGAATATGAAGCCTTTCAGTTTGTTATTGGTTTTGTCAGTGAGATAACTAGTCAGATTTTCATTGTGTTGGTCAGACATTAGAGCTTACAAGGAAATGGCTGTGTAGAGTAAGGAGAAGTAGGAACGTTGACAATGGTGAAGGTTGGTTATAGTTGTGTAGAGCAAGGAGAGGGAGGAACGTTGACGATGGTGGAGGTTGGTTACAATTGTGAATATGAGGCCATTCAGTTTGTTATTGGTTTTGTCAGTGAGATAACTAGTCAGATTTTCATTGTGTATTTTCATTCTGTTTGTCAGACATTAGAGCTTACAAGGAAAACGCTGTGTAGAGTAAGGAGAAGTAGGAACGTTGACGATGGTGAAGGGTGGTTATAGTTGTGTAGAGTAAGGAGTGGTAGGAACGTTGACGATGGTGAAGGGTGGTTATAGTTGTGTAGAGTAAGGAGAGGTAGGAGCGTTGACGATGGTGAAGGTTCGTTATAATTGTGTAGGGTAAGGAGAGGTAGGAACGTTGACGTTGGTGAAGGTTGGTTACAATTGTGACTATGAAGCCATTCAGTTTGTTATTGGTTTTGTCAGTGAGATAACTAGTCAGATTTTCATTGTGTATTTTCATTCTGTTTGTCAGACATTAGAGCTTACAAGGAAAGGGCTGTGTAGAGTAAGGAGAAGTAGGACCGTTGACGATGGTGAAGGTTCGTTATAATTGTGTAGAGTAAGGAGAGGTAGGAACGTTGACGATGGTGAAGGTTGGTTACAATTGTGAATATGAAGCCATTCAGTTTGTTATTGGTTTTGTCAGTGAGATAACTAGTCAGATTTTCATTGTGTTGGTCAGACATTAGAGCTTACAAGGAAAAGGCTGGTAACCTTAATTTCAGTGTCAAGAGGATGAATAAGATACAAATGTAAGAAAGTTAGCAGCATCACAGGCATAGGAGGCACAGTAGTCTAAGGTAGGATGCTGGGCATGTGACCAAACGGTTGCGGGTTCGAGTCATGTCACAGCACTGTGTTGTATCTTTGAACAAGATACTTTGCTCTGCTTGTTCCAGTCTAATCAGCTGTAAATAAGTACATGATTCACTCAGGGCAGTGCTAGCATTGTTGAATGCTAGCACCAGCTGTATGCTCCCCAGGGAGTTGAGAAAGATAAAGGCCCTATAACCACGGATAATAATTTGTGAACCGCTTTGAAACTACCTACGAACTTGGTTGTGATAAAGTGGTATATAAGAACCTCAGATTATTATTATTATGAAAAAAACGATCTGCTAAAAGTGTTAACTAGGGCTTCAATAATACATAAACATGACAATATGATAGTTTCACGATACTGTGGTCACGATACGATACTGAAGTCACCATACAATACATATCAATACTGTGGTCATGATATGATAAGTATCACAATACTGTGGTCACGATACGTATTACAATACTGTGGTCATGATACGACACGTATTACAATACTGTGGTCATGACACATTACTGTGGTCACAATACAATACGTATCACAATACTGTGGTCATGATACAATAGTATCACAATACTGCGGTCACGATACGTATAACAATACCTTGGTCACGATACGATACATATCACAATACTGTGGATACGATACAATACGTAGCACAATACTGTGGTCATGATACGATACGTATCAGGATACTTTGGTCACGATACAATATGTATCATAATACTTTGGTCACAGTATGATACATATCACAATACTGTGGTCATGATACGATAGGTATCACAATACTGTGGTCAGGATACAATATGTATCATAATACTTTGGTCACGGTATGATACATATCACAATACTGTGGTCATGATACAATATGTATCATAATACTTTGGTCACGGTATGATACATATCACAATACTGTGGTCATGATACGATACGTATCAGGATTCTTTGGTCACGATACAATATGTATCATAATACTTTGGTCACGGTATGATACATATCACAATACTGTGGTCATGATACAATATGTATCATAATACTTTGGTCACAGTATGATACATATCACGATATTTTGGTCACGATACGATACGTATCACAATATTGTAGTCACAATACAATACATATCACAATACTGTGGTCACAATACTGTGGTCACTACGATATATATCACAATACTGTAGTCACAATACAATACATATCACAATACTGTGGTTACGATACGATTCGTATCACAATACTGTGGTCACGATACAATGTGTGTCACAATACATATAGTTAAATAATGTTGCAAATTTTTAATTGAAATATTACAACAGGAAATAGACTTGGTCCAAATTGGGCATGACTTCAAAGTTTCACCCAATTCACTTCTCTCAACATGCATCCCGAGCTGAAGCTGTCACTCACTGTGATGGAACAGATATCAGTAGACTTTATTCAGAAACGACAAATCCTGAAAATATTGAGGGTGTTACATAGCCTTCCCCAAAAAATATTGTGTATCGTACCGTATTTGAAATATCGTCACACTTTAATATATTGTTGCTGACCCTAGTGTTAACAGTTTACCCCTTTTTACTGATATTCTAACACAAGGTTGCAGCTTTGATGTTGTGACAATAACAGATTATATAGACCTTATCATCCAGTGTGTGTTCTGTCTGATAGCAAGATGATTCTTATTGCTCTGTTTATTGTAGATGGTCATTCGAAAATCTGTTGATGACCTTGATGTCCATACGCTCAAGCGTGGACAATATTTGAAGGTTGTCACAAAGGTAGGTAACCCAAAACTCTTGAACAAATCCTTCTTTAACTGTACAGTTTAGTAGCTGTTTGAATTTAAATTCATTACCCCTGGGTCATCTGCTCTCCATTTGGGAGGAGGTAAGGTTTTTTAACTTAAGTTAATTTAGGGAAATAACATTTTGGGTAAAATTTGACCATTTTCAGCTGGAAATGATTCAAACTTGAATTGGTTGCAATATTTGTAATGAGATGTCAGTAAGATGGATAAGAGGATAAGATGCTGCCCCTCTCTCAGGGCCAGAGGGGCAGGGCCAAAACAGGAAAATGGATCAAATTTAAAGAAATCTTCTCCACATTCAGATGTACAAAAATCAAGTTTGTTTCATGGATGAAAGGGCCCTTTACATGAGTATAGGTGCATAATCTGAGTTGTTAGTGTCACCCTTGGGGTATCTCCCTTGGGTAGATGGTAGATTTTACTTTAGTTAATATAGAGAAATAACGCTTTTAACTATAGTTCATTTTCTGCAAGAAATAATTCTAATTGGGTCGGAATAATTATGAAATTGAAATTAAATACATTATCAAATAGTATCAGAAAGATCCTGACCTACCCAGGGTTTGGCATTTATGAGAAAAACTGGCAACATTACAATATATAGATATGAAATGTCTCATTCAATAGCAAACTAATTCATTTAAAGAGATTTTAACAATTGTTTTCCTTTAGTAACATGACAAGTCATGCAATTCTTTTTGTTTTCAATTTCACACCTCAACAATGAAAACTATTTATACATGATAATATAACTCGTGATCAGTTGACCATTCAGGCCCTTGGGCCTCTTGTTTATAGTAGCTCTGCTACTTTCACAGAAAAAATTGAAATTCTGATATTTAGAATTACATTTTTTTGTTATAGATTAAAGAACGTGTTTTGAACAAGAATCCTGCTACTTTCACAGAAAAATTTGAAATTCTGATATTTAGAATTACATTCTTTTGTTATAGATTAAAGAACTTGTTTTGAACAAGAATCCTGCTACTTTCACAGAAAAATTTGAAATTCTGATATTTAGAATTACATTCTTTTGTTATAGATTAAAGAACTTGTTTTGAACAAGAATCCTGCTACTTTCA